AACCGCTCCTGACCACGGTGGTGCAACAGGACGTCTGTAAGTTGGTTTTGCTGTGGCTGAGCTCCTGTGAGCTGTTTTACTGTGGTTTATTTAGACTTCGGGGTGTGGTGGTGGGTGCTTCTGCATCCACCCCTCTCGACACAGGTCCGGGAGGAGCAGTTGCTCTTGTTCCAGCTGATAGCGTTGGGATGCTGACAGTCATGGCTAACCTGTTTGACTGACCCTGTGCTCCCCTCCCCAGGGGGTACTGACACCAAGTGTGTTGTTTGCCTGGGGAGCTGCTCTGGCTGAAAAAAACAGCGTAGAAAAAAAAAGGGTTAAGAGTCTGAGCATAGCATGGGTTGTGCAGTAGTGATGCCTTCTCCAGCCAGCAGCATCTGCCCCAGTCGCTCAAGAAATGCTGCTTATTTCCTCATAAAGTGTTCTGTTCTTCATGTCTTTTTTTAGCTGCACGGAGACCAGGGTGGTTGTCTTGTCACATGAATGAATGCGCGGGCTGAACTTTGAGAAAGCGTGCCGTGTTCAGGAGGGGAAAAATAAAAAAGGCAAATTGGAGCTGAGCTTGTTTGTACAGTGGCGTGTCAAACCGGTGACCCCTTGCGAGAATATGCAGAACGAGAGACCTGACTTGTTAGTAAAACAGTTCTAGATAGAAAACTACCCCTGGACTATTGCTGTGCCTTTGGCAGCAGGAAGGCTGGATGCTGTCCCCCAAACAGCATCCGTAAAGTCGGCGCTGGTCCACAAGCAGCAGGTAACCTGAGGAACCTGAAGCTGGGACTTCTGATGTTGCTTCTTATGCCCAAGCTGAAACCAGGACTACCAGGACGCTTGTGGTTGTTGGTGCACTCTTGCCTTATGCAATGAGGATTAATTTAAGTAGGTGGAGAAGTATTTCTTGGCTGATTCACAAGAGGGGGGTGAGGCTCCTGGAGCAGCTCGCTGCCTTCAGATAGGTGGTAGGAGCTGGGGAGGGCGGGCAAGGACCGCGTAGCTCGTAGCAAATCATCATCATTCACACAGTGATAAACTTATCCCGGGTGAAACAGAGCTGAACCCGTTTTCAGTTCTGAGCCTTTTGCGTTGCAGCAGCCACATGAGAGAGTCCTGGCTTTGGTTATTCCTTGGGCTGTCTGTCCTGTTTGTGTCCACGGCTTTAATGAAAGGTGCAAGCCTGTGGACCTGGCTCTGCTGGTGGTGGTGCCAAGCACGGCGTGCCTGAGTTAGTTGGGTACAACACACGTTTCCCATAGCGTGTATGAACTTCTAAACCCCTCTAGAGTGGGCTCAGATGATCACCAGAAAAATAAAAGCTGAAACTTAACCGTTCTCGTGTGAAAGCAACTGGCTCCTCGGTAGGGGTGGAGATACTCAGGGTTGGTTGCTGGCACCACAGCACCATGTGCTTTGGTCCTGCACATGCCAGGCTGATAGTTTATTGCTTTATGGGAGCACTTATCCCCAATTACCTTTCTGATGAGATGCTGAGTGCTTAAATTATACCGGCTGCTTCCACGACATCTCAGCAACGGGGCGAGATCTCGATCTCCTGGGGTCAGTTGTGGAGTGTGAAGCAATGCCTTCAAGTTAAAACTAGCAGAGGGAAAGGAAAAAAAACAACACCAAAACAAGCCAAAACCCCAAACCCTGGCTGAATGGGACCAGCTCGGCAGCGGTGGGTCCTGCTGAGTCACGCTGCTGGCAGCTGGAGCGGCTGCCGGGCGTTTCTGTGGAGCATCAGGAAATCCAGCCCCTCCTGCCCAACGTTTGTGGGGTGGGAAGGGGCAGGGACCCGTGGAGGGGTGACAAGACCATCCGCGAGGGCTGAGGGATGGATTGAAAACCTGTTTTTCAATTCCGAGAGAATCCAGTGCTGTCGCTGCCTTTACGGGAGGAATTTTCTGAGCCTTTGGGTTTATTTCCAGCGCTGTTCATGGGTTACAGTGCTCTGAAACAGGAAGCTTTGCTCGAGGCCGCCAAATTCCTCGTCATGAACACCAGCTGATGCCCGAGTCTGGAATTCAGCTGGCTGCTGAACTAAGTCACTTTGCAAATGTAATTCTGGTGCAAAAATTATTATAATATTTTTTTTTTGAATGTTTGCTACAAGCGCAATAACTCGTTGGCTTAGTCTCAACGTATTGTTTAGCTGCTTTCGTAGCTTGATTTTATTATACTGGCTTAAAGTCCTGAATTCAACTCTGATCTCTTCTTTGCTCTCACAAAGGGTGTGCAAAAGTGCTCTTGAGTTTCCCGTGACTAGGATGGTTTTGGGAATTGAAGGTCCAAACCTGAAACAGTTTTATTGACTCAGTCTTGCCTGAAGGCTTAGCTGGAGTAATGCCTCCTGACTAACTACCCAAGTGAATCGGTGGGGCCGAAGGGCCGTGTCCTGGCGAGGGAGCGCGGAGGCGGCGTGGGCGCTCCTTGCTTTTTCAAGGGCTGTTGAATCTTGGCTGAGGACGGAGCTGCTTGTGTCCCTTTGCCTGCGAGGGTGACGCTGGTGTCTGCGAGCTGCCAAGTTGTTTGGGGGAAACTTTATTCTGAAGGTGGGGTGTCCCAACTGGCAGGGTGGGAGGCATCATCCCTCAAACCCAAAGGACCTCTGAGTTGCATTTTTCAAGCTTCTTAAAGGAGCATTAATTTGATGGGGAGCCCGTTGCTAAACACGCATCTCCTGTGGCCGTGCCCCTTCCCAGGAGCCTTCTGTGTTTGTGTTTTGAGGCGTGAGGCTGCTCCGAAGGCTGTATCCCTTCAGACAGGTGTTGGTGTGGTGGGATGTCTCACCCGTGTTGCAGACGGGCAGGACTTGCGGGCTGCTCAGCAAAGCCCTTTGCATCCTGATGCTCTGGATTTTGCTCTGGATTTTTTTCCCTTCCTGGGATGGTTGTAGAGGTTTGAGACCTGCTGATGCCTCTCCTGTTGCTGGTGGGGGTCTGTGCCCTGCAAACACCCATCACAGGTTGGCATCTTCATTGTGAGGGCTTTGAGCACTGCTGGTGAGTGATGGCATCGCTCTGCAGAAGGCTGAAACTAGCTAAAAGGATTATTTTTTTTTTTAGAGTGTGTAATTAGGTGATGGCAGTGAGTTTAGTAGGATGCTTGGGGTGCTGGAAGCTTAGCTGCCTTCAAAAAGGCATAAAAACCTGTCGAGGACCGTCGAACAAAGATGCAGATGAGCTCCCCTGGCCCGGGCAGTTGGTGGCTGCAGGTTCACAGGAGCTGGGAGGGCAGATGATGGGGTGCAGGGTGGCTCTGTGCTCCCCAGGCTGCTGAGGGACAGTCACCGTGGGTCTTCCTCGGTCAGGAGGATGGGATGGCCTTTCCCCATCTCTCCTCCTACGGGTGGTTACTGTGGGTACCCCGTTTTCTCAGCTCGCCCTTCTAGGAAACAAGTTTCCCAATCACCAAGTGTCACGAGCAGCCGAGCACCTGCAGGAGGAACAAGCTGGGGCAGAGAGCCGGGAGTGGTGTAAGCAGGAGGCAATTAAACCCCGAACTGTACATCTTCAGCGAGTCTTTTGAACAGCTCTGCTCTAGCTGAATTCCCTGCACTTCCCAGGCATAAACAAGAGCAGAGGTTACGCTTCCCTTGCTTGTCTGAGCAGCCCCGGGAACGCTTCAGTGTTGCAATGGGAGCGTGGAGTTAATCTCGCCCGTCTGGCAGGCGAAGCGTGGATAAACAGTGCCGTGACCCTGGCGCGGGTGCGGCCGGGTGCTAAATCATTGGCCCCTCTAACGATCTCGAAAATCTCATAGCTCTTTAACTCTCTAGCTTGTGCTTGTTGCATTAAAGTTGGGTAACGGAGTCCCCTCTCTTCGTGTGCTTTGTTGCAGACAAGGATGCAGAGCTTGCAGCCGGACCCCAAAGCCCAGTACAGGAGCGTATACGAAGCTCTGAAGAAGATTGTCCTCACGGAGGGTTTCTGGAGGCCTTTACGTGGAATTAATGTCACCATGCTGGGGGCTGGCCCTGCCCACGCAATGTACTTTGCCTGCTATGAAAAAATGAAAAAGTCTCTAAGCGAAACTCTCCAGCACGGAGGAAACAGCCACTTGGCCAATGGTATTTTTGGGGTTTTTGTACGAAAAAGCCAAACCACCACACCTTGCAGTTAACAGCCTGTCCCTTGCTTGCTTCACACACTTAGCCTGGCATCCTTCACTGCTCCTGGAAGATCTGCTGTAGGCAGCCTGCATCGACTGCCACCGTAAATGTCTGTATGGGAGGACGCAAGATGCAAACGTAACCCTGGGCTTGCAGGTCTCGGCACCTGCCCTTCCAGTTGAGCGCTTCATGCTGGTCACCACGCTCCTCTGAAACCTGTGCCCTGTCTTACTTAGGACTACTGACTGCTCGGTAGATCTTCCCTTGGTAGAGGTGGCTGGGCTGGCTGTCGGTGGCAGAGCAGAGAAACCCCGACGGCATTGTCGTGCTCCCTCCAAAGCCCTAGTCTAACCTAGACTTCTGCGCTGCTATTTAATCTCACATTGTTCTGCACAAGTAGTCAATGCATTGGACAAGAGGTGTTGAGATGCAGTCGCAGGCTGCTGTTTCTGGCTTTGTTTGAAGGCATCATCTAAACCTCTTGAGGTTTGAAGTACAGGTTGTTCCAGATGTCTCCCTTGGAGCTCCAGAACGGTAAAGTGCACGGCATCCTCTGTGTGCTCGCATGCTGTGGTAAAGATTTTGCTTCTACCAGGGAGGCTTTTGCTTTTAGGTCCGGCAGTACTGCAGAAACGCTCTAAATGAGCAACCAGGGCTGTTAGAAAAGCGTTTGTGCAGAAGATACTTCTGCCTGGTCCTTGGCGCGATGTGACGATAGAAATCTGCCGTGGCAGTCACTTGACTCAACCAGCTCGGCTGAGGGTGTATAATATCTTTCTGGCTTGCTGCTTTTTGCTAGTAATATGCTTCCTGTGTTTGCCTTTCAAGTAGCTACAGGCTTTCAGTACCAGCGGGAAAAGTTGAAGCGCTGCCTTAATGAGAAATGACCGAAAGTCATTTGGGCAAGAGAGAATTTGAGATGGAAACCTACATCAAAGGAGAAGGTGTGGCTCAAGAGGCCCGTCCCAGAGCCAACTGCAGAATCATTAATGGCTGGCTGGATGCTTGCAGAATCCGTCCAATTGGTGTTTAAAACTATACTGAGTAAATGCACGAAAATGCCTAATTACGGATGCGCTGAGCCAGTCCTAAACATCACTTGTTTCTTGGTCCAGCGCGTGAAGCCGGTGGCGTCTTGCAGAGACAAAAGCTCACGAGCTGTTGTAGGGAATAAGCAAAGGTGACGGCTGTGAGTGGATCCTGGTTTCTGTCAGGCTGCCCTGGGTGGGTTTTGCTGCCCTGGGAGTGAGTCGTGTTGCTGGGTGCTTCCTCGGGCTTGCTGCGCTACCTGGGCTGCTCCTCCGCGCGTGGCAGTGCCTGAGCAAGCCCTGTCTTCTGAATCTCTTATTTTTTTTGAAGGATGCTCTTGTGTCTTGCAGGTATAGCTGGGAGCGTGGCCACGCTACTCCACGACGCGGTGATGAACCCAGCTGAAGGTAATGCCTCGGGCTTTGGGGGAAGGCGCCCTGGGAGCAGGGTTCGGTCTGGGTGTTGTGATGACCAAGAAAGATGTATCTTAGCTAATAAATCTTTATCTCCCTGGGTCTGTGCTGCCCGCCCTGCCCTCCATCCCCTGGACCAGTGGTGAAGCAGCGGATGCAGATGTTCAACTCCCCCTACAAGTCCGTCCTGGCGTGTGTAAGGACAGTGCAGAAGACCGAGGGGTTCGGTGCCTTCTACCGCAGCTACACCACCAAGCTCACCATGAACGTGCCCTT